CAGGGACAGTGGTCAGGCCCTAAGTTCATGCTCAGGACTGGAAAAAAAAAATACTACTACATTCATGTAACTTCAGAAGGTTCTGGGGAAAAAAAGTATTGAAAGAAGATAAAAGATGAATGAAAGGGAAAAAGAAATACTAAGTAACAACCATACTACTTTCAATGTTATTTTTATGCCAATTTTATGAGTCTCACATATATTATCAAATCTGGTTCTCAGAGAAACCCTGTAAGAAGGTAACTGTCCTCTGTTTCCAGAGCATAAAACCAGTGAACTGCTGGCCTAAGCTCTTCAAGTAGAGCCAAGGTTCCTTCTGGGCCTGCTTGGTTTCTGCACTGCCTCTTCTGAGGCCATTGCTTAGAAGATGTGGTTTTCCTCTTACTGTAGATCCATTCTACACTCCTCCCAAGTTCTGCGATCAATTACCAATGGCTTCAAAGGTAGTGGGACTGTTCAGACATTAGGTAATGAGGGAAACTGAACTGAAGATGCTTGACCAGTTCTTGTGAAAACTGTGCGGCAGTGAGGACCTTTGACCCTCTTAGATTTTCTGCTCTTGGAACACATTACTGCAATTCTGAATTCTGCCCTGGGTGTGTAAGTGGCCCCTCTCCATATTAAAAATGCTGCTAGATGGACTTCTATGTTGGAGGTTTTCACTCTGTAATCTGCTCATGGAGACCAATTTGTTTATTTAGAGTGGTACTGTCACTGTGAGATACTCTGGGCCAATTACTTCAGTTTGTTCTTGCAAGGTCACTTTCTGGGCTTAATGCTATCTAGGTCAGTTAACTTCTACCCAGAGATAAACACTAACCTATATTTTGACTCTTGGATTGTTTTAATGAGTGTCTAAATTAAATTTTTATTCACTCATGCATGTGGCAAAGAATGCTTGGCAGTCAAAGATGGATACGTGATTTCTGAATTGAGAGCTGAGGTTGTACTTTGGTAATTTTAGATCTCCACAGCCGGATCTACATTAAGCACCCAGTAAGTTTATATAGTTGTCAAACAAATACTTGTTTAGAGCCCATTATATGCCACAAACTAGAAGTAAAGCAGTGGAGAAGGCAGATGTGGTTCTTAGAGTTGTGTAACTGGTTCTTGAGAGGATGAAAAAGAAGCAAGTTTTCAAATAAAGAACACCCAAGTGTCCATTCATAAGGAAATGGATAAAATATGCTCTAATCAGAGCTAGAGAACTACTCAGTAATTCCAGTGAGCAAGATCTTGCTACACCTAGCCTCATGGGTGGATCTCATAATGTCTCACCCCACAGTTACCACATGGAGAAATAGGCAAAACTGATCCATTATGATATGAGTGATCACTGTCAGAATGGAGCAATCAATGACTGGGGACATTAGAAGCTTCCTGGGTTTGAGTAGTGTTCTTTCTTTTGATTTGGGAATTGGTTACATAGAGCTGGGTGTAATCCTAGTTACTCAGGAGGCTGAGATCTGAGGATCATGGTTCAAAGCCAGCTCATCAGGATTTGATCCTTTGACTCCAAGACTCTCTGCCTTTGAGAACTAGCCTGTAAACAAATAAATCTTGCTTAGCATAATAGCACACACTACCTGGGGCCTCTGGAAGAAACCCATGGACTGAATTTTAGATGATGTATAGGAAATTTCCTACAGACAGGCATTCCCCAGGGAGCAGTGTGTGCAGATCTCAGGATGCGAATTAATCACCACAGCAGCTAGCATGTGCAGAGCATTCCTCCTGTGCCAGCTTTTGCATTGTTTAGCTCTCCCACTTAATCCTTATAACAATTCCATGAAATCAGTATTGGCCCGACTGTGCAACTGAAAGCAATGAGGGGTAGGAAGATTCATCTTTGTCCAGTGAGATACAACTGGAAAGCGGACTAAATAAACACTATTCATGCTTCATTGCAAGAGGGGAAATAGAGAATCTTGACTAGCTGGTAGCACTGTGTAGAAAGAAGTTTGGTTTATCATGCAAGTTCTGCCCCAACTCTCCTGGGGCTGGGAACTGGATGTGTCCAGGGATGTGTGTATTGTTTCATGATATATGTTGTCTGAATTGCACTGAAATATATGTTGGTGAAGATCCTTTCTGTTTTGGAAGTTTTGCATACTATAGTCTTTCTCTGTGAAATCCTAAAGCATGACTTTGGTGAGTTCTTCTGTACGCTTTATCCTCTCCAAACCACAGGGTGTCCCCTGAACACCAGCCCTAATTCCCTTAGCTTTCCCTTGCCCTGACCCCAACCATTAGGATCCAGGGTAGAGTGTGTTGTGTTGATGACTGAGGCTCAGACTCACAGCTAGGTAGATGTCAATATTTGTGAATAAAAGAGCACTGTTATTTCTGTAATGAAAGGTCAGGAAGATAATGAATTTGGCATGGGGTCAACAATCAGGTCTTCATCGTTTCCATAGTACCTGCATAATTTTATTGTAGTTCTTAAGCATGTAAGACAGAAGTACAGTTTATCATTTTTTCAACCCAGACTACCTCCCACCAAAACTCACAGGGGTGGGATTCTGAGCATGAACTTCTCAGATGCTCTGATTAGTATTATGCTGTATGAATATGTAACCTTGGTTATACCTAGCCTAGGTTGCTTAAGAGAAATTCAAATTATGGTGTCATTTTTAAAAAGCAAAACAAGGGTTGCCTACAGTTCAGTTCAAATAGTTTCTAGCACATACAAAAGAACCATGATCTTTCTCTTCAACTCTACTTATACTAATAAACTTGGATCTGAACAGGAATGCTTAAGTGAAGTGAGGTGTGTTTTAGTTCTGAGCTCAAGGTTTGTACCATCCAGTACAGTTGTTACCGGCCACAGGTGGCTATTGAACATTTCACTGTGATCGCTCTGAACTGAGATGTGTTATGAGGATAAAACAGGCCAGATTTCTAAGACACAGCATTAAAAATGGGGGAAAAAAATCTCATGAATAGTTTAATGATCACATGTTAAAACTGTTCCTAATTGGGACATATTAGATTAAATAAAACATATTAACATTTAGTTCACTGCTTTAGCTTTTTAAACTGTGGCTAGTAGATAATTTACACTTATAAATATGGTCAACATTGAAAAATGGTCCTCCTGAAAACATAACAAGTATGAATCTCATAAATACTTAAACAGATTTATCTGCTTCTTACTCCACTATTCTGCCAATTCTCCCAAACTTTATTAAACTTTATAACTTTGTTAAAGCATACCAACAGCCCTGTGTGTTCATTTTGAAACCTCTGGGAGTTCATTGATGGATGATTGGATGGTTGATTGGTTGGCTTGCTAGTGGTTGATTGGTTGGTTTTGCTTCCTGAGTCAAAACTCAGAACCATCTTGAGTCTCCTGAAGCTTTATTTTTTAGGTAAATCCAATAGGAAAGGCACTTTAAATGTGTATAGAAACTCATAATTTTGATTGTTGAGAAAATTGTCTATTGTAGTTGCATATAGCATGATATTTTAAAACATGTGTGCATCATAGAATGGTTAAAATAGATGATTAATAAAACCTCACCCCATTTAACATTTTTGTGGTGAGAACACTTCTGTTTTTTTTAAGAATACATGATGTCATCATTAACTATAGCTGCCATTCTGTACAGTAAGTCAGAAACTCACATTTTTAAAGACTTCATAATGTGTTATTGAATAGCTATAACTACTCTGAGGCAGCGAATAATTAGAATGATCACTGTCTTCCAAGTCAGAAAACAAAAGATTAGCTAGAATTTATTTAAGTCCAGCCCAATCCCAGAAATACGTTCAACTCTCTGGTCAGCCTAGCATATAAGTAGCTCTATCAGACAACATAGGGGCTAATAGAACTGGTGCTAGAATGTTGTTCTTTTCTCTATTGGAAAAATTCTTCTCAATACAACATTCCATTATTAATTTTGAAATGTAACACTGTACAAATTGTAATCCTTCAAAAAATATAATTTGTTACCTTTTCAAAACCCAGTTGTACCTGGCATTTTCATTCAAAAACTGATGTAAACTAGAACTGCTTAAAGGCTATAAAAATACTATCGAATTTTTCATATACTTCATTTACTCATTTAGCCAGGACCAACTAACTGCCTACCACATATAAGGCACTAAGTTAAGTTCAAGGAAATCAAGGAAATCCAGATCAGCTTACCAATTACATTTCAGCTAAAAAGTGGTTAAAATATGTATTGAGGGTCAGATCACATATCAGAAAGCTTTACCCCTAGGCCAGGGGTTGGAAAAGGTTTCATAAGTTAGTGCTACTCGTGTTCAAGGGTCCTTGGACGTGGCCAGACAAGGGTGGCTCAGGAGAACAGATAGGAATCTCTCTTTCAGGAATGTTTTCCTAAGAGGGAAAGAAAGCTGGGATGGATAAAGCAGGACATTGCATACAACCTGTTTCTTATACTACTTCCTGGAAGTGTAACACGTACGCAGGTATCACCTTTGAATATTACCAAACTACTAGATATTGCCCAACTATTAGGTATTTCAGACCACTAAAAGGGACTTGCACATTGAAGTATTTGCTAGGAAATGTTTAAGATCCGGGTCTTCTAAATTATTTTAGTTAAAAGAAGTGCAACATGCTTTGTAGCCTGTGCCATTTTCCATGGTGTAAATATTCCCAGCTTGGCTGATATCCAGTTGCCAGTGAGACATCATGGAATGTGGAGCTGGGAGGAGGAGGGAGGTGGCATCTCACTCTGTATCATTTCCATTTTACCAATGATACAAGTGACCCCAAATGCACGATTAAAATATGACTGAATAGCCAAAGGGGCAATGGAACTTGCATATATCAAATGCATCATGTTTGCCTGTAATAGGTGTAACTATGATTTATGTTGTTTTTAAGGATAACTGTGTTTAACACTGGCTCACAACATTGTGCATGTTGACAATTCTCACCCACCAGTGGGCCAGCATCATCAGTGTAACATAACCACTGCCCTGTAGAGAAAATACCCTCATTTCTCCTCTCTCTTGGTTTCTTGCAGATCAGCAAACAGCAACTTCAGACAGTCAAGGACCGGTTTCAGGCTTTCCTCAATGGGGAGACTCAGATTGTGGCTGATGAAGCCTTTATGAATGCTGTCCAGAGCTACTATGAGGTGAGTCATCTTCAGAGCAATGCCAGGAAGAATGATAAATGGCGAAACAAGTATAAGGCAAAACAATTAAATTTTGTTTTGCCCTATGGGATTATTTCACTGATTTATTCCCTCCCTTCTTCCTGTCTTTTCTTTCGAACTTTTTTCCTTTCTTCCTCTTTTTTCCCTCCCTCTATCACTTCCTTTCTTCTCAACTGTTTTGTAGTTATTAGATAGAAAATTATTTCAAAATAAATATGTTGATGCCCCTGTTTCAATAATCATATGGTTGGTCTGACCATTGGCTGGACCTAATCAATAGATTTCAATGTTAGTTGATGCCTTGGTGAATAAGGCCTGATTCTCATTTAACATAGTTGACCCTCTCCTTTCATGGGTAGAGTGGAGCATAGTTGCAATTAGCTCTTATGAAAATATTACTGATTGGTTTGCTAAGTATCATTTGATAGTAAACAACCTTTTTTGTGTTTGTTGATTCTTACCAGATACTCCTTTGACATATGGTTTCCTTAATGGGACTTCAAAATGAGGCTATTTTAGAAGCTGTGGTCACTCTTATACTTGTCCCAATTTAAATCTTAAAATTTTACAGATAACATCCAGTATTGCCAATGACCTTCGATCTTGCTATGTTATCTGCCGTGATGATACTTTTCATTTGGACTTTGTGGGGATTTGGAATCAAAATGAGACCTGGCAATGAAGAACTTGAGTGTATCTAACTAAGATTTTGTATAGAAACTTCCTGAGAGTGAGATCAATGTTTCTTTTACAAATTCTGAAAGCCAGTGGGAGAGTAATGAGAGAACCCTTGTCAAAACAGGCAGACCCTTATCGTGTTTAGTGTCATTCACTGGAGTTTATAAATTTGTACATTACAAATCTTAATTAGGAAGCTCATTTGACTAATGACATAAATTAAAAGAAAGTGTCATTTCTATCTATTAATTAAATTTGAAAATTAATAGTTATCAACATGCTAATGAGTCTCTGGAAATTCCAAGATCCATAGTGATTCAGATATTTTCCTCTATACTATCTAGTTCATGTGAAAAACCTTCTTTTGGCCTGGTGAGAATCCAGACATTGAGAAATTGCTGAATATTTAATGTTAGGATTTGAGTAACACAGGAAAGAATGTGAGGGATTAATGATCTAACTGCTGTCTTCATTAGTAAAGCTTTAGAGAGTCTTTAGATTCACTTTTCCGGGGAAGGCTAATCCTTTAAAGCAGAAGTCCATGAATCAGGATTAGTACTTCGTTTGGCAGAGCTCCAAGCTGATTGTGCCTCCCTTTCTCCCTCTTACTCTGGGGCTGTGGAGAAACCAGCACCTCCTCCTCTACCAAACTCAGGGATCCATGTGCACATCTGTTAGCCTCTGTTTTAACCAGAACTGTTCGGATTGCTAGCAACAGACTCACGGTTTAATCTAGCATCAACCTAAAAAGACTTAGAGTCCAAGGGTTGGCCTGGTTCCTGTCAGGTCTAGATCCAGAGTCTCTAGAGATGCCTATATTCTGGCATCTTCCTTCCATCCTTCTGCTGTGCCCTTCTCTGTGTTTCCTGGACATGGAAAAATCTAGGTACATCCTACCAGTTTAGCAACCCCAGGAGCAAACAAAATCGCTGTTTGCCAAGAGTCCCAGCAAAGACCCACCAGTGAACAGTGACTTGCTTGCATTGGCATGAGTCCTAGGTAACTTTTTGAGCAGCTCACCATAGATAAGGTGAAACAGTCTGATTTCAAACTCAGCCCCTGCAAGTATTGGAGTGAAGTCCAATGGCTTCCTGATGAGAAATTGGGTTGTTTTTTCTGGAAGAAGGTATGTTCTGCAGATGAAACAGAAAGATATCCTCCTTACATGTTTATTTTTTTCTCTCCCTTCCCAAGCTGTCTTTTTTTTTTTTTCTTTTTTTGGTCATGTGGCTTGAACCCTGGGCCTGGGCACTGTCCTTCAGCTCTTTAGCTTAAGGCAAGTGCTCTACCACTTGAGCCACAGCGCCACTTCCGGTTTTCTGGTGGTTTTATTGGAAATAAGAGTTTCACAGACTTTCTTGCTTTGGCTGGCTTTGAACCGTGATCCTCAGATCTCAGCCTCCTGAGTAGCTAGGATTATAGGTGTGAGCCACCAGCGCCCGCCCCAAGCTGTCTTTCTTTTTCCCTTCCCCTCCCCCCCAACTCTTATCATCTTTCACCTTCATGTTCCAGTTTACCAACAGCAGTAACCCAACAACCACAAAAAAATAGTCTAATTTTTTCCTCAGGAAGTTTTGAGATTACTGTATAAGAAGAACTGTTTTGAGCATTGGCTTAGATTTGCTAAGGCAGCGATTCACCAACATGTCATAGCAATAAAGAGTTGCTTTGCAGGAATGAAAGGAATGGGGAGGCACACAACTTTTCCCATATCTGCGTCTATTTGACCAAATCTGGACTAGGCTGGCCATCATTAACAAGAAGCTGGCGTAGCCTGGGCCCTGAGATGGGCTGGGAAAGGGGAGATCAAGTTTTGCCATACTCTCAAAAATGTACAGGTTTATTTTGTTCTTTCCTGGTAGCCCTGATGGTCAGAGAGGATCAAGCGGGCTGCAGATTAATCCTTTAATCTCTCCAGCCCTGACTGTGGGGGCTGGGGTGAATGCTGGCAGGGCTGGCCTAGCCACTTCTTCCTGTTTGCACATCCTCAGTCCCCTTGTGGGGCCTGTCAGGTTCTCAGCTACTTTAAGACAAAAGTCTCCATCCTCACCCTCACCTCCATACCTCCCTGCTTAATTTGGTTTCTTCTTCGAAGACAAGCCTGGGCATCAGGGCAAAGAGATGGATGGATAAGTCATACAAATCTCAGATACCGCTTAAAGGAAATCTGGAGGGATTTAGTGGGATGTAGGAATGTGGATTGTGGTGGAAGACTACAAAAATTTATTTTAGGACGCCACAGCTGGCATCTGCCTTCAGCCGATGAAGCAGCTATGATTGATTTGGTTTGGGAGGATTTAAGTGGCTTAGCCAGTCTTTAACAAAGGCCTGGTTGATTTCTGTCACACCTGCTTTGAACGTTGTTTCAGAGAGACTCCTTTAGAAACTGACTGTGGTTAAATTCAGTCCCAATAGTAATAACAACAGCAAAAACTACTGTGGTCGTTGCTTTGTGGTTTTGTTAAAGGAAATAGCTAAGCTTCAGAAAATATGGAAGTCAGGGCAGTTTATTACAGGAATCTAGTAGCTGACTAACTGTAAAAGATCTTACATATCTTACTAACCTAACAATCACAGGGCCCTTCACATTATAGCATCCATAGGAAGGCACAGATAATGGGCATCCTGCCATTGGTATGCATCTACTCCAACACATTATTTCCATACCACCTTACTCTGATTCCAGACCTAGACCCCAGAAGGGATATGCTAATTGGTGAAGCTCAAATCCCAGCCCACTCCTTGTTTGAAGAAGGCCAAGGCCCTGTGATTGACAGTCCCATGAAACTATGTTCTGGAGAGAGGGTTCTTGGAGGAAAGATTGAGATGCTGTCATCAGGAGAGGAAGGATAGTTAGCAGGTAAAAACTTGCACAAAGAGTGCTATACTGATTCTCTGTGGTAGACTTTTTTTTGTTCATCTCAAAAAAGGTCTGTCAAGCTACCAGCTATTTTTCTAAAATAAAGCAATTATTCCAGAACTACTGTAATGACTCAGTGACCTGGAAGCAGATTTCCCCATAGGTGAAGAGTAATAACCTATTGTAAAGGGATTATTATTTTGAGGAAAGCCAGGCAAAGAGGAAGCCAAGGTCAGAGGAATGAATAAGATGAGTCCAACTCTGTTGTGCACTAACTGTGATCTGAGCCTCAGTTTCTTCATCTGCCACGGGGGGGGGGGGGGGGGGGAGAGCCTGGAAAGATCCATTGTAAATGTATTAATCTTATAAGGAAAGAAAGGTGGTATAGTATTCATGTTCTACACAGAAATAATAGAACACAAATGAAAGTTGATTCAGTCCACTTCCTAGTTTGGGGGCCTGGGAAAAATGTCGGGGAGGGAAAAGTTGGAGGCAGTGGGAAGTGTATAGAAAGACAAAGGGAGCTGCTTTTTCTCAAGGGCATAGCCCCAGATCTACTTCTGATATTTGCCTCAGGAGACTTTGTGTTTTTGATAAGGAGAATGCCAAAGGTGCATTTTATTTTAGAAATTGACATTTACCTTGTCTTAAGACAATGGAAAAATACAAAATTTCCCATTTAGAGAGGTGTTTCATATCATTGTGAAAGTAAAATATATCAATTGTACAAGTAAATCTATGGAGAAAAATCTTTAAATAGCTAAGGATGGGATTACTTATAATCCCTTCTATTTAGACAAACTCGATCAAATTTTGGTGTATATGTTTCCAGGTATTTACTGGTACTTGAAATCTCAGACTCCAGCTCTTGCTTGGCTTTTTCCACCAAGGGCTGGGACTGAGCCACTTGTTCCATGCTTCCATTTCCAGCTTTTTGCTGGCTAAGTGGAGATAAGAGTCTCTAGGACTTTCCCACCTTGAACTCAGATCTCAACTTCCTGAGTAGCTAGGATTACAGGTATGAGCCACCAGCATCTTGCCTCCAGGCTTTTAAAAATATATCCATATTTGATTCCTATAGACTAAGACATTGCAACAAAATATTATTATTTCATTTTTTTCATTCAACACAATTGTTTTCAATTTCCTTTATCTCTTCAGAAATTGTACATATGAAATACTTTTGCCAGCAAATGTCTTCTTGCTGATAATCTTCTCAGACTAGGGGCATGTGCCTATCCCTCAATCCTACCTTACCCTTACTGCTGAAGGGCCTAGTGTAGTAGTATATCTTGAACAACATATTTTTGGTGATCCTGGGGTTTGAATGCAGGGCCTTATACTTGCTAGGCAAGCACTCTACTACTTGAGCTATACTTCTGGCCAATTTTGCCTTTAGAGTTTTTTGAATAGGATCTCGTGTTTTTGTCTAGGCTGGCCTAGACTACAATCCTTCTATTTATGTTTCCTGTACAGCTGAGTTGATATGCATCACCACCCACACTCACCTTATTGATTGGCACGAGGCCTTAGTAACTTTTTTTCTGGGTTGGCCTTGAACCCCAATTCTTCTGATCTCAACTTCCCAAGTAGTTAGAATTACAGGTGTGTGCCAGCATGGCTAGCCCATATTTGATGCTAAAGAAAAAAGTCTTTCATTTTTTTCCTATTAAAATAACAGTTATTGGGCTGGGAAGGTGGCTCAGTGGTAGAGTGCTTGCCTTGCATGCATGAGGCCCTGGGTTCGATTCTCCAGCACCACATAAGCAAAAAGGAAAAAAGCTGGAAGTGGCGCTGTGGCTCAAGTGGTAGAGCGCTAGCCTTGAGCTGAAGAGCTGAGGGACAGCGCCCAGGCCCAGAGTTCAGGCCCACGACCGGACCCAAAAAAATAAAAAAATAAATAAAAAAATAGATTAAAATAACCCTTATTTTAATATTTCTTCTGTTGTAGGTGAAATGCTGACTAGTTAGAAGCATAATCTCACTGGATCCTTACCCAAATTCCAGGAGCTCAGGTTGCTATGATCCCCATATTAAAGGCAAGAAATTTAAAGTCTAGGGAAGATTTAAGCCCTTTGCTCAGGTGACAGAACTAGTAAGTAGAAGAGTTCAGTTTACCCAAGTGATGTGGTACCAGTCTCTGCTCCTGAGTACAGGATGACTTATGTGCTACTCATTGATGGTAGGTTGGCACCTTTCCACCCCAAAAGTAAAAAATTGCTTTCTCGGACCAATCCCTCCACCCATGTGCACGGCCACCGAGACCCAGTGTGCCTGTGTGGTTTGTAATGTAATTGGAGCCTGCCCAGCTGTGGCAAAGGAGGGAAAGACTGATGAATGAGGTCGAGTGGCTGGCTTGACTGCCCTTCGCTCCCCATATTTATTTGTTTATCTTCCGTCTCTCATTACGACCTGTCTGGAAGTTGGCGGAGGAGTGGGGAGGATTTATGGGATGTGCTTGCACAGAACTGTGCCTGAGGTTGAAGTCTCAAGACATAGCCACCATACATAAAAACAAAACAACAACAACAAAACCCCCACAGAAACAACTAAAAAACTCACATAGAGCTCCTCACATAAATAATTTCCAAAGGCTCTTTAAGGACACACGAGCCTATCAGTACTTAGGTTTGGGTTCATGACTATGTAAGTCTGGCGCAGATCCCCCCTTGCTTCCTGTCAGACCGAGAACCAAGACAGATGATGTACCTGGGAAATTAGTTTCCTGCTGCCACCTTCTCTCCTCCTGGCTGTCTAGCCTCCTTTGGGCATTTCATTTTTCACATCTCCTCAGTCCCTAACCTCCTCCCTCCACATTCTTGATATCCCACCCATCACCTCCCTTACTGAGGCCTGAAAGTCATATCTTTCCATAGCACTGATGGATCCCTTCCTTTTTAAGTCTTTTCAGTTTTGTCCTCTTCAGAGAAGGCAAGTGGCTTAACCTCCTGGGACAGCGAAGGGGAGGAAGGTTGATAGAAGTTAAGAGATTACTCAGGTCACCTCTCGAGGATCACCAAATATGTACTGAGTAGCTACAAGTGTGTATAAGGGACTATGGGAAACAGGTGATGTATCCAAGATTCATAGGTCAGTAATGGACACCAACGGGGGCCAGGCTGTCAATATCCTTATTCCTTGCTCTTTGTGATTAGGTCTTATAGAAAGTCTAGCATAAGTTGCTTGTTCTGAGAGACCCTAGAAATACCATTATCTCCTTTATCACCTTGTCCCATCCAGACCGGACATATTATTCAATAGATTCTTTGTTTTTATCATTTATGCAGTCGTTCAACAAATATTTACTAAGTGTCAACACTCTCTTAGGCATGAAGAAGACATCAGAAAAGACCCCCACAACCCTATCTTGCTGGAAATTATAGTAGGGTGAGAAATTCAGATATTGCCAAATGGTATAATAATAATAATGATAATAATATGGCAGATGGTAGCTAGGAAGGGCTTTGAGTGAAGTAAATGCAGTGAAAGGACCTTATACCTGGGTCTGCTCATGTGTGCTGGCATAGGCAACTGTGGAGCAAAGTCTAATTCTGTTGTTGATTGACTGTTTCCAGGTCACCTTTGATGTTCATTAGAGCTGCAAATAATCAGTCAACATTCTTGTATGGAGCCTACCACCACTGCTCATCTGTCCTTTTATAAGAACTGCTCAGCTGGTCTCCTTGCCAGTTCCTTTGACGCCTTCCAGTGGTGGGCCAGTGTTCCAGTTTGAAGCCTGTAGTGGCTTGCCAGTGGTGTTAAAATGCAGGCTTCATGCCTCCACCCATGCCCTGGGCTATCTCCTGCTCATCTCATGTCATCACTCCACACTAGTGTCTCCATGTTCCCTCAGACACTTGGGTGGTGGGGGGGAGATCTTTACACACATTGCTCCTTTTCTCTGAAATGTGTCCCTGCTCTCTGGTCACCTATCCACGTTTCATATATCATCCCCAAAGTGTATTTTCCTTCAGGAAGATTTTCCTCACATATGTTGGCATAGGTTTCTGGCATAGACTTCCTTTGATGGTATCTGTTCTCATGTGTCATTATTTTGCACGGGATTAAGATGATGTTGGTGGTATTCCACAAGGGCTGAATTTGTGCTTTCCTTCCATTGTTCCCTGGACACCTAATGAGGGATGTTCCACTTAGAAGGTGCACTAACAAAGGATGGATGGTAAAAAACAAACAAAAAAACCCCACCAAAACTAGGGACATGGCAGCTAGAAGAGAGAACTGGGGATTCCGTGAAGGAAGGTGACTTACCTCTGGCTATCCCAATGACTGGGTGATAGAAGTGCTGTGGAATTATGGTTTGCAACTCCTGACATGGTACAGCCTGACCTTTCTAGAGGCTTCTCAATTTGCTTCAGAATGTCAGTGTTAGTTGAAATCTAGGCTAGATGCTGAGATTCCTAATGTATTAGTTAGATGGAGAAATGTTCCAAATGAAGATGTACTAGCTCATTAAAATCCCTAAAATCTGATGGAGGGGGGTTCCCAGGGTGGGGCTGCCCCCTGGGACTTTTACTGAGCACCAGTTTTCAGGCATGGGACCAAGCCAATGTCCTTACTCTGTGAAACAAATGCTCAGCATTCCTTTTTTAATGACTTCCTGAAGTCCCCTACCAATGAGGGCTAACTTTTGAATAACTCTCCACCCTCGGTAAAGCTCTGTGGAAAAGAATGAGGTAATGCCATGCCGGTTCCCAACAATGCCACCCAATGGCCAACAAAGCCATTTTCTTATATCTGGAAGCGGCATGAACATGGCTCTGCCTCCTGAGGGATATTTATGCACCTTCTGAAGTGTGGCCAGGACCTAGCTCAACAATGTCAGTTGTTTCTTGTCTCTGAATACACACAGCAGCTTCACTGCCTTGTATTACACCCCAGAACCATGTAGTCTGTGTGAGCTTGTGAGCAGGGGCAGTGGAACAAAGGAATATGCTCTCGCTTGAAGGTAGCCCAGGACTTACACAGTTCCACCCACTGCCAAGAATTCTCCATCAGGAGGGAGAGCCCAAAGGATAGCAAAGAACCAGACTGAAGCAAAAAGACTGTATGTTTGTGGTCATACAGATTCAGATAGAGTAAGTGGTTTTCCTCCCCTGAAGTCTTGGTTTTTGCATCTACAAAGTAGATCAGATTATAACACCCATGTTCATTGTGAACTCACGTGTAGAGTGCCATGTGCTACTGAAGAAATCTGGGGAACAAGAAACAGTCCTTACTCTTGAGAGTTTACATTTCAGGAAAGGAAATAATTAAACACATTCACTTCATATGTTTAATTCTAAGTATGATAAGGATCCATGTAGAAAGAAGATGAGAGGCCAATACTGGTTAACACTAAAGTTCTGTGTGCTAGACATCATGTCAAGTACTTTACATAATAATAGTAATAATCATCTTAACAATCTTCAGCAATAACAGCATCAACTATATGGTGTTTTATGGGCCAAGAACTAAATGTTTTTCACACAATAACTCATTGAATGTTCATTTTAAAACCTACATAGGGGCTACTATTACTCAATTTTTTTAGAGAACACTAAAGTCAAAGAAGTTAGATTACCAATATTCACAAAGCCAGTATGTGAGAAAAAAACCTAAGACTGACCCTAGAGTCACCGGCTTGCCTTTCAGGATACCTTTGGCTCATCCAGTCCTCGCAATCACCTGGCAAACACAGGGGCTTTTCCTCCTCTGTAGTTTCATTTTCTCCAGTTTCATTTACTTGGAGTCAAAGGCAGTCTGAAACATGGAAAATACCACAGCGAAAGAGTTCACATGTTTTAAATCGTGTTTTTATAGTGCATTGTTTTAAGAGTTCTCTTTTATTACTGGTGTTGTTGATAATCCCTTACCAGGCCCAATTTCTAAATTAAACTTTAGTACATGCATAGGAAAGAACATTGCCTATATAGAGTTCAGAGGAATCTGCAGTTTAGGCATAGCCACTGGGGGTCTTGGGATATACCCCCCCTTCAGCCAAGGGGGAACTAACTTCTAGTCTATTGTTACTCATGTTTTATAGATTTGGACACAAACAAAGTGTATGTCTTGTCTGAGTTCTCATGGACAGCAGGTGGGTGGGAACAGACCCACACTGGTGTCTTCTATGTGAGACCCAGGATATAACCCAAGAAACCAAACTGGCACCCTATGTGTGGCTGACTCTGACTTTCTCCTCCCGCTTCTTGCTCAGGTGTTCTTGAAGAGTGACCGCGTGGCCCGCATGGTGCAGAGTGGGGGCTGTTCGGCCAATGACTCACGCGAGGTCTTCAAGAAGCACATTGAGAAGAGGGTACGCAGCTTGCCCGAGATCGATGGCCTGAGCAAGGAGACCGTGCTGAGCTCCTGGATGGCCAAGTTTGATGCCATCTACCGTGGAGAAGAGGACCCCAGGAAGCAGCAGGCCCGGATGACAGCCAGCGCAGCCTCTGAGCTAATTCTGAGCAAAGAGCAGCTCTACGAGATGTTCCAGAACATTCTTGGGATCAAAAAGTTCGAACATCAGCTCTTGTACAATGCCTGTCAGGTAAGAACTCCCTCCCCTGGGCTCAGGGCTGTGGGTCAGCAAAATCGAGTTACAGCTTTTGTGGACCACTTTGTTCATTAGAATATGTTAAAAATCATATTGAATGACAGTATTTGGTTAAAAGTTGATCATAATCTTGATGACTAAACTTGTTGTGTTTAAGAGGCAAGTCAGCCCACTGAGTAAGGCCAAGCTTTCATGTGTCAAAGTGCTAAAAGTCCAAGTAATGATTTATGTTTAAAAGAATCATCTGCCTTAATGTAGGTAGTATTTATGGACACTGGTAACTCATGCCTATAGGTACCAGCTGAGCTGTCTGCTGGTAGCTTATAGCCTTCTAGCTACTCAGGAGACTAAGATCTGGAGGATTGTTGTTTTGCGCCCGCCCAGGCAAACATGTCTGAGAGATTCCATCTCCAGTTAACCAACAAAAAGCCAGGCTGGATGGCACACCAGCCATGAGCAAGCAAACTGAGCAAGCTTGAGATCCTGAGTCCAATCAATCCCAGAACCCACAGTAACAATTACAAAAAATAAGTGGTATGTATCAGTTGAGAAGTTTGTCCTTCTTCAGCTGAGGTGGCACCTGGTCATCCAGCGTGATTATTTATAATAAAAAAGCCTGTGCAGGCCTGGGTGTCTTCATAGCTCTGTGAGCCATGTGATGACTATCCAAGTATGCTTGAGAGGACAAACTCAGGCTCTGCAAGGGTCCATCTCAGACGGGCCTGAATTTCCCCTGAATGGTGGAATAGGGCCCCTGTGTGATCTTGAACTTGACTTCCTGTATAATCTTACCATTCACCCAGCAAACATCTGTTATATCTGCTTTGCAAGACTGAAAATTTTTAGTGAGTGTCAGCAAGGAGCATTTTGTAAATGCAGGTTCTCAGTCCTATCCCTAAGAGACCATCCCTCTACATTTTAAACAAGGATTTCCCTTCCTGGTAACGTTATTGCCTATATCCTTCCAAAAACTGTTAGAGAAACAGATGAGCTCAAGGTTCCTAGGCCAACTCCCTGCTGAAGGCAGATTAAGACACTTCAGTTTATTATGAGTTAGTTATGACTTGTTCTTTGCTTGGGTCAGATAGATCTAAGAAAATTCTAGCATGACCTCTAACTGGCTTTGTGGCCTTGGGATCTGGTTAACCTCCCTACATCAGCTTGCAGTTATAATTAAATATTGATTTAGTCATGTGGTAGAAGACTCCATAAGATTGAGGAAGAAGAAAGTTGGCAAACTGCAAGATTTCATTACATATTGCTTTGTGGAAAATATAACTTATAAAACAGATAAGCATAGTCCTGTTTTTGATGGGTGGGAAAGGCATGATGGAGAAAGCAGTAGGTGGGCAAAACCTAAAATATTTGTTGTGCTTATCTTTAATTATAGGTAGCATAATAATTAATTTTATAATTATTATTTGTGCTATTCCAAATTAGAAACAATAGGATAAGGAAAAAATTATCTTGTCAATTGTTTCTTAAACTTTAGCAATTAGTATCTTACCTTTACAATTGTTACCATTTCTGGGATCTAGCTATTTGTTATTGTTGTTTAGTCATGGGGCTTGAACTCAGGGCATGGGTGCTGTCCCTGAGCTCTTTCACTCAAGGCTAGCACTCTACCATTTTGAGCCACAGCATCACGTCCAGTTTTCTGGTGGTTAATGGGAAATAAGAGTCTTACAGATTTTCCTAGCTGGGTTTGCTTTGAACTGTCATCCTCAGATCTCAGCCTCCTGAATAGCTAGGATTGGAGGTGTGAACCATTGGCGCCCAGCTTTATCTTGTTACTTTTGGTTAATATTTCTTCTTCTTATTATTTCTTATTTGGAAGCCCATCTTTCTTTTTTTTAATTTTTAATTTTTATTTTTTTGTGAACATACTGTACAGAGGGGTTACAATTACAGGGGCAAGATAATGAGTACATTTCTTATCAAGCATTGCAGCCTCCTCCTTTGAGAAACTCATCTTTCTTATAAGAAGTAATGTATATGAAATCAGAGTTTTTTTTTTTTGGGGGGGGGGGGTCCAGTCGTGGGACCTGAACTCTGGGCTTGAGCGCTGTCCCTCAGCTCTTCAGCTCAAGGCTAGCACTCTACCACTTGAGCCACAGCGCCACTTCCGGCTTTTTTCTTTTTGCTTATGTGGTGCTGAGGAATCGAACCCAGGGCCTCAGGCATGCAAGGCAAGCGCTCTACCACTGAGCCAACTTCCCAGCCCTGAAATCAGAGTTTTGATGTACTACTTTTTCTTGAGGCCAGGGGAGGCACATTAAATTGAAACACAGTCAGGCATGGTAGTTCAGACCTGTAATCCCAGACATTTGGGAAGGATGAGAAGTTTGAGACCACTCTGGCTAAAAATATACCTTCAGAAACAAAATGAAAATGATAGGATTAGGGGAAGGGAGACAGAAGAATAGGACAGTGGATCAAATGATAGCTCAGAGTCCTTGCTTAGCAAGCATGAGGCCCTGAATTCAATTCTCAGTACTTCCAAACTGAGAGGAGAGGAGAAGGAAAGGAGAAAAATCAACCGAAGTATGAAAATAGACATTTTTCATTAGTTACCCTCTTCAATCATTTCACACTACCAGTGCTGTGCTGGGGGCGGGCGGAGGGTTGGGGGAGCAGAAGTCAGTGCTCTGATGAACAATGGGTTGGATGGTCTCTGGTGCTATTCCCAAAAATGGTTCCGCACTGACCAGAGCAGCTTTCGTGTGAAGTTTTCATAGCCCACAAGCAAAAGCATGAGTGTCCTCTATCTCCCACCCCTTCTTTTATTGGCAGGCTGTAGAGGGACATGCTGAGAAAAATTCTGCTTCTCTTTCCTCCTGTAATCTAGGTGTCAGAAATTACAGGTTACTCCTGGGTTTCACAGACTCCATTCAACTCTGCAAAACTCTATTAACTCATCAGAAAAAGGATATGAAAATGAAATTGTATGGCTTCCATCCTCAACCTGCTTAAACTGTCTCTTGTTTAATTTTGTGTTTTCTATGCCCTCTTCTCCTCACTAGATAAAGCAATCCCTTCATGCCTCTGAAGCCAAAAGTGTGCACAATATTTTCGTTTTATGCAGATCACATCGTAGGAGGCTGTAATCTGATTTCTGCTGCTGCTTTCTGAAAGTTCTCATCATCGTCACTCTCTCTCTCTCAGCATCTGCCCGTGCCTCTCATTGTTGTCTCAAATGAAAAATGGCATTTATCAAACAGTGATTACATCAGATACATACCAGTTATCGGCTATAATGTGAATCCTGTCCATCAAAACATAAAAAAGCAAGAGGTTTTGATGAATATCTTACTATTTACTCATGAGATTTTTTTTCTTGGTCTGTTTTGTTCATTTGAGAGTGCAAGGCTTGATCCTTACAGAATGAGTTGCTCATACACTGCATTGTGTCCAAATGTAAAGTAATTGGCCACTCGTTAGGAAATTGGTGTTGTTTACTTTGGAGGAAACAGTTTATTATGTAGCTGGTTTATTTCCATTGAATTCTAAACCAAAGGTGAGGGTGGGGGGCGGGGGAGCAAGGTAGTGTGTATGTGTGTGTGTGCATGTGCGTATGTGTGCATGTGTGTCAGTACTAGAGTTTGAACTCAGGACTTTGGCACTGCCCCTTAGTTTCTTTGCTCACAGCTCACATTCTACAACTTGAGCCACACCCTACACTTCCAGCCTTTTGCTGGATAATTGGAAATAAGAATCTCAGAGCTTTTCCTGCTTAGGCTGGCTTTGAATCACAATCCTCTCATCTCAGCCTCCTAAGTAACTAGGATTATAGGCGTGAGCCACCTGAGTCTGGTGCAAGGTGCTACTGAAATGCAGTATTTCATCTGAGAATGAGACTCAGACAGCCCTGCTGCCCATCTTCATGAACTGCAAAGCTACTGCGGATGAGAAATAAGGATGTGCTATTGACAGGCATTTCATAAGATGCACCTCCCTTCCCTTCCCCTCCAAATGTATTTCCATCTTTTTGTACCCCTTTTATCAGCATGTATTAAATTGTACAAAGGGGTTTAGCTGTGATATTTGTATCCATGCATACATTGTACTTGATCAAGTCTACTTTATTACTCTTTCTTATCTCCATCCTCCCTTTTAAGTTTATAGTGTGTTTCATATTGTTTTCATAGGTAGATGTAATGTAATTCAAGGATTTTCACTCATTGTTCTCTCCTTTCCCTCTGATTTGATTTAGTGCCCAGTTATATGAACTGTTTGCTACTTCCTTCCCTCTCTGCTCAACAATAAGTTATTATTAATTCCCTAGTCCTGACATATAGAGAGTACTGGGGTGCTGTTCAAGTGGTACAGTGCTTCCTAGCAAGCATAAGCTCCTGAGTTCAATCCTCAGTACCAGATAGATAGATGGATAGATAGATAGATAGATAGATAGATAGATAGATAGATAGATAGATAGATAGATAGATAGATAGATAGATGTCAGATAGATGTAGATAAATGTTTCATTTGAAAAGCACCTTGTGGGGGGAGAGGGAAGCATACTGTCACATATTTTAAATGCAAAATAAACTCTTGTAAGTAAAGCAACACAGCAAATATTGAAGGGATATGGATTATGAAGTTGTTTCCTTGGAGTGTTTCGGTTCTACTCTTTGAACAATGCCCTCTCCGTTTCTGGGTGTACTACACTGGTCACATCACAGTGCTTGGCACCATCCACAACCTGCCCCCGCCCCCCACAGCCTTCATTTTATGCCTGATGGGCAGCAGAAAGACCATGCCTGTCTGCACTCTCAGGAGATGGTGTTATTTACATTTATCCTCCCAGAATGTCTGGATATTTCCTCAGATAAGTTTAGAAGATATGAGAAAGATGATTTCCCCATCCATAAACACCTTTGCAAAAATTTTCCATCTTGAGTTCTCCACTACTGAACTGGTAACCTCTTCATCATTTCCTTTCCTTTCCCATAAACCATCATTAGTGTGGTCTTTGATGATGTAGTTACCTTATT